CCTGAAAACTCTGACTTCACTTTCTTGAAAAATGAAATGGTCCTTTACTCCCGATCAACAATCAAATATATTTTCTTGAATTATGAATAACATGGATGGATTGAAATATTTAATTAAATTATCTCAAAATAAACCTTCATTTGGGTGCAAGATTGAAATTAGCTTGAATTCTTCATAACCTCTGAATAGTGGGTGACCCAACAGGTCACGGGTTGTCTAGTATATACTAAACCTGTAACTCTTATTTTTTAAGCAGCATATACTTTCATTGTTATAGTTTACAAATAGACGTGTATAAGTGTTCTCTGAAAAAGCTTATTTTGGTAAGCACGCAGATTGAAGCCGTAACCCTGGGTAACGGCACTAAACATATTGTTGATGCATAATACTGACGAGCGTTTGATTTCTTACTCTTTGTGTATTTGATATGACAAAGTACAATATATACTTATCAAAAAAGGCACACCAAGACTGTACCACCATCTAGCTGCTATACTTAATCTATTCCTACAATCCAGTACTTAGGCCCGGCATGACCAGGTGGTTAGGGCGCTCGACTCGCAATCTGCGGGTTCGAATCCCCGTCACACCAAACATGCTCGCCCTTTCAGCCGTGAGTGTTATAATGTGACGGTCAAACCCACTATTCGTTGATAAAAGAGTAGCCCAAGAATTAGTGATGGGTGGTGATGACTAGCTGCCTTCCCTCTAGTCTTACACTTTGCACGAAATTCAAAACAAACAAACAAACATTTTAAAGAAAAATGAAAGATTAATGGGTGAGAGTAGTAGCCAGTTGAACATGTATAAACTGCTGAGGGAAATCCACAACCTGTAACTTCTAATGACATCAATAAATGACGTGAAGTTTTGCGCGAAATTCATAACAAACCATTCCTACAATCAGGTTACATACCAATTGCTTGGAAGCTAGCAGACGTTTTAATGTTTCTGAAAGAAGGAAGGCCAGCAAATAAACCGAAAAGTCAGACTAACCAGCTGTATTGGAAAACTACTAGAAAAAATCATAAGTTCAAGACTGTTGGCCTATCTCGAAGTAACACCAAAATCATCGGACATACAAAACTGATTCGGGAAAAAGAAGACAAAGAACAGACCATCTGGTCAGATTCACAGAAAAAGGTAGATAGTTTTAATCGAAACGAATGCACTGTCGCTTGCTTTTTCGATGTTGATGAAGTATTCGACACTATATGGAACTATAACCGAGAGGTATTATTCACTGGCTCTCCAACTTTCTAGACAACAGGAAAGCTAAAATTAATGTGTCGAGCACCTTCTCGGAGTACTCTATCCCGAGGTAGTTAGCCCTATTCTATTCATCATGCATGCAAGTGAAATGCCACTGTCTGATCCAAATACAAAAGTTACAGACAATACAAAATTCAATAATCACTAAAGCATACAGAACTCCGAGATACACAAACACAACCTTCCCACACAAGTATGCAAACATGTTGTCAGACAGACTTAGAAATAGATCAATAGATTACTTCCACAAAAATCTTAACAACATTAACAACGATGCAAAATTAAGAACACTGAAACCTTTACCATACACGATAAAAATAGCCTAATCACCACTAAATCTAGTAAACTCCTTATTGGGTAAACTGGTAGCTACATATAGTGTTGATTTTATTTTTAAAAGGGTTTTTATATGTACAGATAAGATTAGTGCTGTATGTTATACATCGATAGGTACGGAACTGTTTGTGTGAACAAAACTTTATGTTGAAAACGAACGAGAAAAATAGAAGTATATACCAGAAAACACGAACAATCAACGTAGTACATTCATGGACATGGCCTGAAAAGGGCCACGCGCGTGTGCGAACGAACTGTTGTAATGTGCATGCAGTAGCTGCGTAATGTAATAATGGGTTTCCCTAGCTACCGGGCCGAATTCTACTGAAGAATTAATGTGGGGCTTCATCCACGACCCTCACGAACCAAACCAACAGCCAAAGGAGGGAGGTAAAGGTCCAAGGTCTACCTGATCCTCCCAGCTCACTTGACCAAACAACGATCAATGAAACGCTTACAACTCCTGCATGCCAGTTTTCAAATAATGTATGTTACATGGAGCGTTACCTTTGGTGAGTAGCCCTCGCTTCATAGAAATGTCCAAATAAGCAGCAGTATTTTGATGGTTTTGTTATCATTATGTTATTTCGTTTTTATTCTGTTGCTTGAGATAAGTTTTGTGGAAAATTATGAGATTTATTAACTTTATTTTTTATCCTTGCCTAGGACGTTCTGTGTAGGTTTTATTTGGATCTGTAAGTCCTCAGATTAAATCATTTTCTGTGGAAATTCTAAAGAATATAGAGGATTAAGCGCACTTTATATGAACTATATATATATATATATATATGTGTGTGTGTGTGTGTGTTAAACCAGATACGAACCGTGTCAACTGCATATTTGATTCACAGCCAATTTCCGACTATTCGGCAATGGCTAAACTTATAGCAAGAAGATTACAACTCTTCATGAGAAAAATATTCGTACAGCGACATTATTATTAAACGATGTAGAACCAAAGGATACAACATTTCGCAGAAGAAAGTATTCGCTGTTCTTCAAAGAAGCAGAATAACTCGTACAGTAGAGCAATTAGGACAGCAAGAAGCTCTGAAACGCACCCCAAGTCAAACCTGAGTAAGGCCCTCATCCTCAAACTGAAGGCTATGTTTTCGAAAGAATGCCTCCAATCCAAAAAGTTGTTACAGTAAAACTGGGCATACCTCTTGGTAAAAGTAACAAGATAGTACAGAAATATTTGAAGGTTCCCAAACTACCAGCCACACCACGAGACCTGGAATAGTGTTATTATGATGTTCGATTAACTTCAGTATAATATTTATGTCAAGACCAACATAGAAATATATGTTAAAGTTTTTTTTTTTATCTCATACCTGATTTGATAGCTAGTTTTGTTGGCAATTCAACATCAGTCACTTTTTGTCATTAGCTCTGACTGATATTCCCAAAACGCTTACCGTTTCGGTTATGTAATTTCATATGTATTTTTTAACGTATTTTGTTGTTATTTTTGAGATTCTAAATAATATAAGCTGTACGAAGTCATTTTGTTATAAAGTAACACT